ATGATTAGGGTATAGAAACCAAATGATAGGTATACTGGAAACCAAATGATGGGGCATAGGAACCAAATGATGGGGGTACGGGAACCAATTGATGGAGGTACGGGAACCAAATGATGAGGGTATATAAACCAAATGATAGGAATATGGGACTCAGATAAATGGGTTATAGAAACCAAATGATGAGGCATGGGAACCAAATGATAGGGGTATAGGAACCAAATGATGATGTGGTTATGGGAACCCAATGATGGGGGTATGGGAACCAAGTGATGAGAGTATTGAAACTAAATCATAGGTATATTGGACTCAAATAATTGGGGTATAGAAACCAAATGATGGGGGGGGCATTGGAATCAATTGGTAGGGGTATATAAACCGAATGATGGGGGTATAGGAACCGAATGATGGGGGTATAGGCACCAAGTGATAGGGGGTATGGTAACCAAATGATGAGGGTATAGAAACCAAATGATAGGTATATTGGAAACCAAATGATGGGGGCATAGGAACCAAATGATAGGGGCATAGAAACCAAATGATAGGGGTATAGAAACCAAATGATAGGGGTATAGAAACCAAATGATAGGGGTATAGAAACCAAATGATAGGGTTTGGGGAACCAAATTGTGGGGGTACGGGAACCAATTGATGGAGGTACGGAAAAACAAATGATGAGGATATAGAAACCAAATGATAGGTATATTGGAAACCAAATGATGAGAGATGGGAACCAAATGATGGGGGGTATAGAAACAGAATGATGGGGGTATAGGAACCAAGTGATGGGGGTATGGTTACCAAATGATGAGGGTATAGAAACCAAATGATAGGTATACTGGAAACCAAATGATGGGGGCATAGGAACCAAATGATGGGGGTACGGGAACCAATTGATGGAGGTACGGAAACCAAATGATGAGGGTATATAAACCAAATGATAGGAATATGGGACTCAGATAAATGGGTTATAGAAACCAAATGATGAGGCATGGGAACCAAATAATAGGGTTATGGAAACCAAATGGTGGGGGGGTATAGGAACCAAAAAAATAGGAGCATGGGATCCAAATGATGGGGCACAATAAACAAAATAATGGAGGTATGGACACCAAATAACAGGGGTATAGGAACCAAATAATACAGACATGGAAACTAAATGATAGGGTTATTGGAGGTATTAGAGCCAAATGTTTGGGTATAGGGAAAAAGTAATAAGGGAATAGGAACTCATTTATTGGGTTATGAGAATCAAATGATGTAGGCATTGAAATCAAATGATGGTGGTATGCGAGGAATGGGTTTGGTTTTTGTAACCATATTTCAGGAACAAATTTGAAAGCAACATTGCTAGTAGAAGAAAACACCACCTAAGCCTTCTGCCGATAAACCAAACCAGAGTAGAGAACACAGAGCACAACATCTGTATTCCTCAAGGAATGACTAAAGGAAGAGAAATCAGAAGCTTCAATTCTTTTGTTCTAAATATCACACCTTGTCGAGGTGACTTCACTATAGTATAAAGTTCAGCTTGGCAGATTTCAGACTTTGCTCCTCGAAAATATCACTTTGAACTCCTATTGCTGTAAAATTCCAGAAAATACAAAAAAACCTCAACAAACCACTGGCACTGTGGGGCAAACCTTCAGCAGCAAAGAAGTGACAGCCAAGTGTCACCTATCAGTCACTCTGCTATGTGATGACAATACATCTACCTCTGAACTCACGGCTTGTATTCCGGCTCTAACACTTGCCCAATGCAGTGTCCAAAGGGTTCACAGAGCAGAAAGGCATTTAGAAAGATATTCAGGTGCTTCTATAATTCTTCCTAACTCACAGAGAACGTTAGGAAGGTAAAAATGATCGGATGTCTCTGAAACACTAAAGGGACACTCCAATTTCTTAAACAAATGATATATTACTGTCAGACAAGCCTTTTTAAAATGTAATACTATGAAAAAAAAAAATCACTTTTTCATTTTAATATCCAACCAGCTAGGATTTTCCAAAAAGGCCAAAAATTTTTAGCGTTTTATCCTTGTATTCATCATTGCAACAACGTTACACTGTGTACAGAACAGCCCCAGAAACCTCACTTTTTTCACATGTGATAGGCGAAATGCTTTTCCAAGTAATCTTTATGTTATTACTGTTCACTAACAAAGTGCATGAAGGTTCTTAATGGGGGCATGGCACCAAGCGAAGAGCCAAATGATGGAGGTATGAAGATCAAAATGATGGAGGTATAGGAACCAAAAGATAGGGGCTTGGAAGCCAAATGGTTAGGGTACAGGAATCAAATGATTGGGGTAGGGGAAACAAATGATGGTGTTTGGAAACCAACCAAGAGGTATCGAAACAAAAAATCATAGTATGGGAACTGAGTGTTTTGGTATAGAAACCAAATGATGGGTTATGGAGACAAAATGATGAGGGTTGGGAACCAAATTCTAGGGGTATGAGAACAAAATGATAGGGGTGTGGGGACAAATCTATAGGGTTACGAGAAGTAAATGATTGGGATATGGGAAGTAGTTGATAGGGGTGTGGGAACCAAATGATGGGGGTGTAGGAATCAAATGAAAGGGGTAAGAGAACCAGTTGATGGGGGAGTGGAAATCAAATTATGGGGAACAAATGATTAGGGTATGTGAAACACATGAAGGGGGTATGGGAACCAAATGATGGGAGTGTGGTAACTAAATGATATGGGGAGAGAGAATCAAATGATGAGGGCATAGTAACCAAATCATGGGGGCAAGGGAAAAAAAACATTGAGAAGGCTTTGGGAATCAACTGGTGAGGGCAAGGAGAACCAATTGATGGGGGTATGAGAACCAAAATTTAGGGAGCATGGGGAACAAATAATGGGAATATGTGAACAAAATTATGAGGGTAAGGGAACCAAAGGAATCGGGGCATGAGAACCAAATCATTAGGATATGGGAACCAAATGATGGGGATATGGGAACCCAAATATGGGTGTATGGAGCACAGTTATTGGGGTGTGGAACAAAATGATAGGTTTATGTCAACCAAATGATGGGGGTATGGGACGCAAATGATGGGGGTATGGAGACCAAATGATAGGGGTATGGGAACCAAATGATGTGGTTATGGGAACCCAATGATGGGGGCATGGGAACCAAGTGATGGAGGTTTGGGACTGGAAAAAACAAACAAACCATGATTCCCTGCATCACTGCTCTGAAATCAAAGTAGAAAAAACAAGCTTGATGTATGAGATGACATGTGAGTAGCTAGATCTCCATTGCATGCTCTGATTGCATAAAAACTGCAGCAAAAAAAAATCCCCTTGGAGCTAGCTTGTATATTTAGATTTGCTATTTAAAAAAAATATAATAAAATTCTTTTGATTTTCTTTCAGCTGTTCCTAGCCATTTCCCATAAGTCATACTGGTACCCAATAGTATGAGTAATGACTTCCACAGTCTGGTGAAGGGAGTATAGGGACAATCCATTGGGGGACTGCCATAATAAGAACCAGGGGCGGACTGACCATTTGGAAACTCGGGCACTGCCCGAGGTAAGTAGGGGGCCCCATGAGATGCCCCTGGAACCTTTTTCATAGGCTTTTTTGAGTTTGGGCAAAGACACAGGGGCTCCATGATCCCCTATTGCCCGGGGGCCCCATGAACTCTCTGGTTACATGCTTTTATTTGCTGTAGATAACTGACTCCACCCTCATCCAGCCAAAATTCGACATTGTCCAGGAAGGGAAAAGATAAAGCTTTCCCCACAATGATGCGTAACGTTTTTAGTTTTCTTCACATTTTGCCTTGTTGGGCATTCCGTCTACTTTTTAGCCTACAGTGCAATATCATAGTTTTCCTCGTCTAACTGTTAAAACTTGGAGGTAAAACATTACAAATTTAGCAGCATTTTTATAACTGAAGGTTCTACTCTAGAACTGCAACAGTTCCAAACACGTTAGGGAAAGCACTGACATCAACGGAGACATGAGTGATGGTTAGAAGGACTTCTCCATCATATGTGCTGGGAGCCGCCCTCAGCTATGCCAGATAATGAGAACTAATATCGATCTACGGCCGGGTTGTCTATCTCAGTTCCTTGAACACTATACAAAGTAGTAGCGCAGTGCCTGTCTGCAGACCAGATCCTGTCTCTGACCTCCCTTCACGTGGATGTCCTACCTACATGTACAGAGCTGGTTATAAATAAATAAATACAAATTCAGAGAAGCCGTAGAAAAGAAATAAAATGCAAAGGGCAAAGAACGTTGCAGGTCAGATGTTGCACATGACAGGTCCTCGTTGTCAATCGCTTTACCCCCAAAGATCAGTCAATGCCATGCATTTCATTGTTATTCCACAGATTTTCAGTAATACCTTGCACCAAAATCCACAGAGATATAAATCAATATTGCAATTATTTGCAAAAATCAAGATGGACGTATCATCCAACATCCAACCACTTCCCAACCTTCATGCAACATTTTTTTGAGGACCCCTAACAGGCATGCCCCATGTGTTGGCATGAACAGAGGCAGCCTGAAGATGCTCACAATTTGCAGCTTGCCTACATTTTATTGGGCCATTGCTCACCACTAGAGACATGTGTGGGCCAATCCATGCCATGACGTATGATATACCAACCCAAAGGGATGTGACCGCTTATTTCATAAGTTCACACCAACAGGGACAAGATCTGCACTACGGAATATGCCTCCCTGGAGAGCAGACACAAGTATGCACCACAGTGTTAAATAGTCACCATTATCGGGAATGTACATAAATACGAGAAACCCTGGGGCCACAGTGTCCAGCACTCCCATCATGCCTTGCAGTTCCTATGCTGCACTTTGGTCCAAGGTGGAGGTGTTTCAGGTCCTTATTGCCATAGGAGATGAGTGGGATTGGCTCCGCGGGGGCGTGTAAGGATGAGAAGGCAGGGCGGTGGGTGAAGACCTCTCCTCTTATAATGAGATGTGACAGTCAATGCTATTTTCCTGTTTTCATCTGCTATAGGATTGCCTCCATGAAGCTGGTGTCCAGGTGTTGGATTAAGACCCGGATAAAGGACATTTCCTTTCTGGTGTTCTCAAAGATGATACGGGGGTCGTCCGACTCGCAGCGCAGACAGTTGGGTGCCATGACCATGGCTAGGTTACTGACGTCCATCTTTGTGACGGCCACGTTGGCTGGCTGTACAAATACCTGGAAGGGTGGAGGACAGTTAAAAAAAATAGTCACTCACATGACAAAGCCAGGAAGTAGTATGGTGGTCAGCCTGGACTAAGCCTTAACAACCAATTTACCCAGATCAGTAAGAGTCAACTTCTGATTAGCTGTCGTGGCCATGGCCAACTCACTATTTTTTTATCCACATTTGACATCCCTCTCCTGGTCCCTCCATATAGCATGTAATCTCCCATAGTTTCCCAGGGTCATGGTCTCAGTCAGGCTCTTTGTAGTAAAACAACGCAGTGCAGCGCTAAAAAGAATAAATCTCATAAATTGCCTTTATGATAAATAGAATAAAGTTCATGGATATATGATCGTAAAATCTAAATGTTCCAAAAGTGACAATAGTGCTCTGAAGGTGCCTGCTTCAAAGATATTCCGGTGCTCGTGCAGATGGAAACAATAACATTGCACACTCACCAGATGCACAATTTTAATGCACATATATATATATATATATATATATATATATATAGGTATATAGATTTCCTCTCAATGGGATCAGGGTAGAACAGATGATAGGTGATTCTCTGTCAGGAATGGACTCAGCACTGGTGGTGGGACTCACCTGCCGTGTGGGCTGCAGTACCAGGGCTGACCAGCGGGTGCTCTCAGCACCCAGAAGCTCACTCCTGTAGTCAGCCAACACCTGGGCTGATTGCAGGAGGTGTATTTAAGTAGGACCAGGCCTGTGATCAGGGCCTTGGTGTATGTTTCCCATGAGCCCCTGTACCTGGTATCCTGTGTTCCTGCCTCGTTGCTGACCCTGCTTTGATCCTGACCTCTGCTGACCGTCTCCTGTTGAACCCCTGGCTTGCCTGACCATCCTTCTGCCTGATCCTCGGTACCGCGCTGCCCGCTACCTGCTGAACCTGGCTTGTGACCCCGACCATTCTCTGCTTGCTCCTCCTGTACCACGCTGCCCGCACGATACCGACCCGGCCTGTGTGACTACGCTTACTTCACCCGACGATCCATCCATCCTGCACGGATCACCTTTAGTACGTCTGCCTGCCTCTTCCCATCAGACTCCGTTCCTGCACTCCCCTGCCAGTACTCTCTACCACAGCCGGACGCACTCAGGGGTCACGACCTGGTTCCAGTCTGCACCAAGTCCATCCCCACCATCAGGGGCCCTGGTGAATAGCAGGCTGGGACTTAGACCCCGCGCCCTGAGGAAATCCGTGCTGTGGGCTGCTAGAGACACTGCCAGGTGGCACCTGACAGTACCTTACGGCCTGCCTGACCATTCCACCTCTCCAGCCTGACTATGCCTGTGTTCCTGAAGGCTGCTACTTTCCTGTGTCAGTCCACACATTTCTGGTCATACCCGGATCCCTAACATCCTCCCTCCGACGGCCATCTTGGATTCTGGACGGTCAGTCCTTGTTTGCTGTATACTACTGCTGATTGATGCATCATTTTTTATATTCATTTTGAGAGTTGTTATCCCGCAATAAATTCCTTTTACATACTACACTATGGGCACCCTCTTGTTTAACTCCCTGGTGGAGTGAATTCATTTGCAGAAGCCCATTTAAAGTCCATCGCAAGCACCCAGAGAGGGGATCTCCTGTCTACCCAGGATACTGCATCCACCAAACCCTGTAGGGGACCTCTGGCTGTCTTGGATCAACATTAAGCCCTGGAATCGCCCGTTGTGTCATCTACCCTTCAGAGGGAGGATCACCTATCATCTGTTTTACCCTGATCCCATTGAGAGGACATCTACACCTATATATATATATATATATATATATATATATATATATATATATATATATATATATATATATATATATATGCGCATTAAAATTGTGCATCTGGTGAGTGCGCAATTTTATTATTTCCATCTGCACGAGTGCCGGAATATCTTTGAAGCAGGCACCTTCAGAGCACTATTGTCACTTTTGGAACATTTCGATTTTATGATCATATATCCATGAACTTTATTCTATTAATCATAAAGGCAATTTATTAGATTTATTCTTTTTAGAGCTGTACTGCGTTGTTGTATTCTGATTTACAGGTTTTATTTGGTTACCTACCATGCATAGCTGCTACTTTTAGTGCGCTCACATACATTTTACCTTTTGAGGTACAGAGGATAAGCTAAGCATGTGTTTGCTTGGACATACTTGCTCCATGCAGAACTGAACAGTTCCTCCTTCAATAGTTTCAGCTCACCAGGGCAGGGAAATGGTGACTATCTGATCTGGTTGGGGCCTCATTTATCTTTGTGTCGATTCTAGATCTAAAAAGAAGGAGCCTCCTTTCCAGCTGTTGGAAAGCCTGTTGTTTGCTCTCTTTAACAGCTATGGCCTCCAGCAGAATATTCACATCAGACACACATCCAGATGATGCCTGGCCTCCAATGGGTGCTATTGCTCCTTCCAATGATCCTTAGGTCTCACTTCTCACGTATCAGCAGATGGAACCACAAAACACCTTAGGAGATGTTGACATCAGATCCCCCACCCAGAGGTACAGTATTAAACACGTCAATATTTTTCTGAGTAAATATATTTCTAAAGGTGCTATTGACATGATGTTGGTAACAATCCATGCAATCCATACATACAAAGAAACCAAAACAAATAAGTTCAGAAATTAAGTTATGTGTAATTAAATGGAATGACACAGGGAAAAAGTATTGAACACATGAAGAAAGGGAGGTGCAAAAAAACATGGAAAGCCAAGAAACCAGCTGAAATCTATCAGTAATTAGCAATCCTTCTCCTTGTCGGTGCAAATTAATATCAGCTGGTTCAGTCTCAACTGATGGCCTATAAAAAGGCGTGTCATTACCAAGGTGTCACACAAGAAACATCTCATGATGGGCAAAAGCAAAAAGCTCTTTCAAGACCTTCGCAACCTTATTGTTGCAAAGCATACTGATGGCATTGGTTACAGAAGGATTTCTAAACTTCTGAATGTTCCAGTGAGCACTGTTGGGGACATAATCCGGAAGTGGAAAGAACATCATTTCACCATAACCTGGCCACGACCAGCTGCTCCTCGCAAGATTTCTGACAAAAATTGATTGAACACAATTATGAAATTGTGGTCCAAGAGCCAAGGACCACTAGTGGAGAGCTTTAGAAGGACCTGGAAGTAGCAGGTACAATTGTTTCAAAGAATACAATAAGTAATGCACTCACCCCCATGGCCTGTATGCACGTCACCAATACAAGACTCCATTGCTGAAGAAAACGCATGTTGAAGCTCGTTTAAAGTTTACTGCACAACATTTAGACAAGCCTGTGAAACACTGAGAGGATATAGTCTGGTCAGATGAGACCAAAATTGAACTTTGGATGCCATAATACACACCATGTTTGGAGGTCACATGGCACTGCACATCATCCTAAAAACACCATCCCAACAGTGAAGCATGGCGGTGGGAACATCATGGTGTGGGGCTGTTTTTCAGCATATGGTACTGGAAAACTTCATGGCATTGAAGGAAAGATGAATGGAAAAATGTAGCAAGACATTTTTGATAAAAATCTGCTGCCATCTACCAGGATGATGACGATGAAACGAGGGCGGATATTTCAGCAAGACAATGATCCCAAACACAAAGCCAAGGAAACTCTCAACTGGTTTCAAAGAAAGAGAATAAAGCTGCTAGAATGGCCCAGCCAATCACCTGACTTGAATCCAATAGAAAATGTATGAAAAGAACTAAAGATCAGAGTTCATAGAGGAGGCCCATGGAACCTTCAAGATTTGAACACTGTGTGTGTGTAAGAATGGGCCAGAATCACACCTAAGCAATGTGTGCCACTAGTTTCTCCATATAGGAGGCGTCTTGGAGCTGTCATTACCAACAAAGAATTTTGCAAGAAGTATTAAATAAATCTTGATTAATGTGTTCAATACTTTTTCCCTGTGTCATTCCATTTTAGTAAATATGACTTAATTTCTGAACTTATTTGTTTTGGTTTCTTTGTATATATGGATTGCATGGGCTGTTACCGACATGGGGTGAAAATTTCATGTCAATAGCACCTTTAGAAATATATTTACCAAGAAAAATGGTAACGTGTTCAATACTTATTTTACTTGTTGTATATCAGATGTGAAGATTTTGCTGGAGGCCTTAGCTCTTGAAGAGATTGAAATGAAGACTCCTCACCCACTAGAGCAGTGTGTCTTAAAGCGGAGTTCCACCTGGAAAAACAAAAATAAAAGTCAGCAGCTACAAAAACTGTAGCTGCTGACTTTTAAAATCCAGCCACTTACCTGTCCCTCGGTCCAGCGGTGTCCTCACCATGGCTGGTTTCACCGGGCGTCTTCTTTCCCTGGCACCGCCATTGTCAGTGTGGGCACCTGGCTGTGACAGTTTGCGGCCTCACAGCCGGGTGCCCACTGTGCATGCGCGATTAGCGCTGCGCTTTGTGAATGGCCTCGTAGTCTTCTGGGACCTGTCATGTGTCCCAGAAAACTACGGGGAGGGAGGGGGGAGGACAACATCCGCTTCCGATCGCCTAGGCGTGCACAGCGGAAGTGGGAGCAGGTACGTGTCAAATTCAGGTATCCGCTCCCAAAGGTGCCGATCCTTAATGGGGAGCGGGGGGACAAAGGCTTAAAGCGAAACTTCTGCTTTTGGGTGGAGCTCGGCTTTAACCTTTTTTTTAGTCAAGGCACCCTTTAAAATGCTGCACAATCTCAAGTCACCCCATTCTAAAATCTAAAAAACTAAAATAATTGTTTTACATATTGCAGCAACATCCACACATATACTGTAGGACACCCAACATTAGAGGTGATGTATTCTTTCAAAGCAAATAAACGTTTGAGCACTGGTACTGACTAGTATTCCAATGTTTCTTTTCTCCCTCAGTTTCTCTCCCTGACTCAGCTAATGTGACCCTGGCGGAGGAGGCAGGGGAGGGGCAAACAAGGATGCTGTGTAGGTGCCCAACATCCTGCTTATCAACCAATTACATCAGGATGCCGACAGCTAG